TCATTGCTTAGCGCTGACCCTAAATATTACGTTTTGTCATAGTTCCTTCTAACCAGATTTTGCGATAATTCTTAATTCTTTTGGTGCTTTCTCAATATCTCCCCCAGGATGACGTCACAGAACAGTCCAATATTTCCAAGGGTGGTAAGAGCGGGTCTCCCGACTTTCTGATACTTTTAGCTACCCAAAAACATCATGAAGTGGGCCTAACCCCAACCCATCTAGGTCCAACGAGAGAGTGCAGCTTAGGTCCCACGACTGCATGCAGCCTGGCTCACAAGACTGCATGCGGCCTATCTACCACTCCCATAAAATATTCGACTCTCTGTCTGGGGAAGGATATTAGGATAGAACCGCTCTTTCTATCCTGCACACTACTGTCCCTTTGTTTCCTTCTACCAAAGACGTAACTTCCCGTTTTGAGCCAATTTTACGTCAGATAGTATTTTTAGTCCTGCTTCAGCCTATTTCAGTACAACTTTAACTCTCCCTATCCAATCAATTACATACAATATCAACTCTTTATAAGACCATATCTATCTTAGCCCCTAACCTAAATTTTACATTTACCTTCAGCGTCTTCTGACTTATATATTACTTTCAATCCTAGTTCCTTTTAACGCAGAGATTACTTTCAGTCTGAGCTCCTATCCAAATAATTCCATTACTTTTAGCTCGCTCACCACAGATAGTATATGTACTCCTAGGTTCTTCTGCTCTAGAAATTACATTTACACTAGCTCCTTATTAAAGACAAATTGCTTTCATCCCTAGCTCCTCATGTCTAAGATATTACTTTCAGCTCTAACTTATAACTTTTTTTCTGCCGAAGATATTACTTCAACTCTAAACTCCTTAACCCCAATATTGCTTTTAGTCTTAGCTCCGCCTACCACAAATATTACTTTTTCTTAGATCCTTTAATCCCAGATATTACTTTTTTTAACTTCCAGCTTGTTATACCCATATATTACTTTCACATCCAGCTCCTTCTTTTTCTTACCTTACTTTCCATCTAAGCCACTTCTACACAGACAACAATTTCGATAATTTAATCTCTATCCCCCTTCAGAGAAGAATTAATTTAATGCAACAGCTGCCTGCTATTGTAGAATTATCTCCACCTGCCTAATGGCACTCTTCTGTTTCGAGGGTGGAAACTTTGATAACACGTTATTTGTTTGTTTGCATTCTGGCGGTAAATTGGCCAATGCTTTCGCTTTCAGTTAGTGCTGTTGATTTTCTGCAGTAAAAGAGTTAGCTCGTTTTTAAAAGCACAGAAAAGTTGAGAGGCCAAGATGGACTCTTCTATAGCTAAAAGTTTAAAGGGTACCATCATCATGTGCCTTAAATGACACAACCGGTATTTAAATATACTTTTATTATCTGTAACTGAGCGTGTGCGTGAGTGCATCTGTCTCTCTCCTCTCTCTGTGAGGGGGGGGGGGGGGGGGGGGGGGGGAGAAGGAGCGGGGAGGGAGTTTAGCTTTTGTAGCTTACTCTATGGTATACGGATACGTTTTTTTAAAATCTTTCAGCTCTATTGGCAATCAATCGTGCATTGCTTCTATAATCCTATCGGTAATAGACAGCAGTTCACAAGATCCAGTTTATTTTAATCTCTGGTTTAAATCAGAATATCTGATATTTTATTTGTAGATGTAACTGCTTTCTGCCTGTTTACACCACAGGTGCAATGTTTACGTGTTTCTTTAGGCACATGTACATTTTCAGGAATGTTTTGACTGAGTTAGCTTTTGAAGAAAACTGTATATGACAACATATGAATAACTTTTTCTATCGCGTTTCTTACACCGGCATTGTGCTTTCTGCCTCTTTTGAAAACCCCAGTATTGTTGGTCAGTTTGTTTTGTCAGGGCGGCTACCTAAAGGTTTACCATATGTCGTGTTTAGAAGTGCACTAAATCACACCAATAATGACTAGGCAAATAGGACATCATAAGCGTTACGTATTGTTGTTAGGAAATAAAATCTTACAGAGGATTCGCAGTCGAGAAGTCGAAGGAGACGGACGTTACTGTCCTTGTGTGGCTTATCCCAAGCCACGGATTTCCAGGTTTGTCATACGTAGCAAATAGAAGCAGCACGCCACACCATACTGTTACGAGGTTAAAGAAGATCTCAGTCTGTACGGCAGAGGAACAAGTCAGGTCACAGATACCCTTTCAGTCTCCAATACCGGTAAAGCTGAGAGGATCAACTTCATTGCACCGGGTTTTATTCTATATGTCTCAGTCTCTCCCCGCAAAACAGATAGCTGCCTGTCGAGAGCTTCGCACAGAGCACGTCCTCCGTAGCTCCAACGACGTTTCCCGGGCATATCTAAAAAAAAGAGCACTTGTGAACTGAACGGCGCGGCCACTTCGCCACGGAAACTCCTTTCAACCTCCAGAGAAGTTATAATTAGGAGACTTGCAACGGCCACAGCATCCAGATCTAGCCTGCAGTCTTATGTGGGACAAGAACAAACTCCCAGTAACCGTTGTCATGAACTTATTTATCTATGACATGCATAAGCAGCAGACGTGGTGCAGCGGCTAGAGGCTCACCTTCGGATCTAAAGGTCGTGTTTTCATGTCCTGACTGAGCCAGACTTATTAAATAAAACGACCTTGGCTCAGGTCAACCCAGCCTTGAATAGGTACCAGGCAGATTCATGGGAAGTAAAAGCGGCCGGTGTGGTCTTGACCACATCACGTGCTGAATGCCAATTGTTCTACGAAATATAGGTCCAGCCTTGTATGCCAAATACATCTGAATGGGTGGAAAACTGTCCTTTACTCATAATATACGTAGCCCATTGCACCTGTAAAGGAAATGCAACTAGCTTGCATCATTATACTTCCTGTTTAAGTGAAAAGTGCAGCTTTTTTGTTTTGCTGTATGGATATAATTAAAATTACCAATAATTGCCAAGTGCATATCAAAGTAGTGTCTCCGTGTTGGTTCATTTTGGATCGAATACATCCACTACCCTATAGAAAGCATGTCATTAAAAATGTGGACTTAAAGGGTATTTCCTTCAAAGTTGGAGTACCTCTGCCCGAGAAGGCGAAGAACTAACAGTCTGCATACAATAAAGTAACATCTGTGAAACAGATGTGCACATAATTCTCAAGTTCTGGAACAGGACAGTATTCAAGAGGTGGACGTACAACCAGTATTTGCCTCCGGAATCCAGAGCTGTCAACGCTACGAAGAAGAGGACGAAGGAGCGGATATCAGTGTACTGCATATCTTGTAGGTTTAGTGGTTCATTAACCGATTCACCTGTTGTCAGCTGCTGGTTACTGTCTGTTTGTTTTCCACTTTTGCGATGTAGGCAAGGGATCTTTGCGCCTGAGGTTTTATGGATGCGTGGCTAGTGCTGTCACCACGGACTGTGCAGGGTGGAATTTTAATTTAGCCCCTGAGAGAAGGGAAAACAATTCACGAGCTAACAAAAGATTCGAACCTGGGTCTTCGGTATGATAGCTCACAATTCGAAGCTGTTAAGCTCTGATTCATTAATATAGACTATTCAAAATACATTATATTTGGAAAGGGCCTTTGTGACGAACTGGTTAAGCTGTTTTCCTCACGCACCTGCCTTCGTTTATAATTGTACATCCGATTGTTTATTAATATCCTAACCCAGATGACAGTCCAACATTTTAGAGGGTGGTAAGACTGGGTTTCCCAGATTTATGATTCTTTCACCGACCCTGACATATCTAGAACTGGCCCTAACTCCAACCCACCTACTTACCACGAGAGAGTGCAGCCTAGGCCCCATGAATGCATGCAGCCTACCTACCATAGCAGCGTACATCCTTTAGGTTATGATCGAAATTCGCAGTGGTCGTCGTTGGAGTTACAGAGTTCGTGCTTAAGCCCCAGAGGCTAGACGTGCAATGATTAGCGTTTAAAACGTAATTTTGAGAAGCAATTGAAATTTGAAGTGAAGATAAATCTGTAATTAAACATGTATGCAATGAAATTCTATTATGCAGTGCGAACTTCACTCAGAGCCCTTAGAGTTCCTGGGAGCACTTATTGGAAACTGACTTTTTAGAGCAGTTGTCTCCAACCCTTTTCCGGTAGCGCCCCCTTGAGTGTATGGCAAGCCTGACCTCGCCCCCCTCCTCCCATTTTCCTCGCCCTAACCCAGCACAACAAAATGTGATTAAGAAGAAGAGGGAAAAAATCCCAGGCACTGTAAACAAGAACTTGTAGAAGAACACCACATAAAACAAAGTGTCAAATAACTGAAGAAACCATCATCCAGATTCTAATGTGATACTTTTGGCTTAGTGATTTCTGCCATTTGTGACCTGGTGTTGGACAAGGCATACCGAAGATCAAGCTAGCAACCTTGTTCTGTTTTCATGAATGTTGAGGCTGAAAATCCTTATTATTGCAGATACAAATAAACTCAGTTTCAAAATTGCTTGACGCCCACTCATGTAACATTCACCTCCCCCCCCCCCCCCCCAACCGTAACCCCCCCCCCCACACACCCCGGACATTCCACCAGGTTGGAGAATCCACTGCTTTTGAGTGACGAAGAGTTTTTAGATATTGAACGAGTTTAAATTCTTTTATGAATTTGTGTAAAAAGACCATCAGCATATATATGTTTTCATTTAAGTAAGGTTACCTGGCATCACACTCTTATCATTAAATATAGTAAGTATACGAGTTTTATTATTTAATACCTTTAACGTTTGTGGCGCTTATCGAATGCAGAGTTGTTGACCGTATTTGTTAAGGAAATAAACAGTTTCTAACCAATGGTACTTTTATAAACAAGTGCACTTATAAAAACGATTTTTAAGAAATTGTTAGAACGATGTCGCTGTTTAATTATTGTACTGATATGTGTTAAACAAACAACAATTTTTGAAACAGAAGGTACAGTCAGGAATTAGGATTTCGTTTACTTTATTATCAAACTGCCTAGTGCATTTGAGCGGATTATTTTGTTGTTGCTGATGAAG